GTCCACAAGTCTTAAAGTTGCTAAGGTTGGAGACCCCTGGTTTAGAGAGACACATCCCTGCATAGGCAGAGCTGGGTAATTTCTTTCCAATGCTGGGAAATTCCAGCTGCAGGAAAATTCAAAAGACAGACCTGCACTTTGGAGAAAGGGAATGCCCACACAACAGGATCAAATCCCTTTCCAACCAGTTAGCTAAACACAAAGCAGCCTCTTGCTGGTTCTGTCTTACGCTATGAGTGACACAACGGAAGAGTATTTTGCCTAAAACTGGGGTTGCTAAGAGGACATACTGTGCAGGACAGGATCTACCTCGGAAACCAGCCAATCTAGAAATCACATAGAAGGACAACCAATTAATACTGCTCGATTAAGAGATGAGAAGCTAGCCAAAAGTACAGATTCCGGAGGCTTTTCCCACGGCAGGGTGGGCGCAGAATACTGAAATTCAGCTCATGAGACCAACACTTTGGGACTCTCCCGTAGCCTCTGTTACCAGAGCAATCTAACCAGTTCCTCACCTGCTGCTGGTGGATGTTGACCACTAACCATTGGTAAATCCAGAGAGCTATCAGACAGGACATGCTTAAGGTCTCCTCCCATGTCTGCCAGTTTCATGTCAAACTGAACGGAGAGGGCGTCCTCCGAATCCTCCTTTCCCACGCTGCTGCCCCCAATGGACGGGAGGTCAAGAGACTTGACGGATGCCGAGTCCTCCTTGGTGTGCTTGAAAGCGGCCAGTTTGTCGACAAGGGATTTTTCCGAGCTGGAGGAAAACTTGCTCGAGTGGAAATCAGCAAAGTCGTCTTCGCTTTTCACCGATGAAGGGGTATGGTCTTTGAGTTCCTCGAATCCCAATCCGGGGCTGTCCAGAGACAGCTGCTTGAAGATGTCGTATTTGTTGGAAGCAGCAACGGGACTCTGCCCGTTCTTCACGGCACCAGTTAAGGAGCCAGCTGGAGGAACCGAGTTGGCCTCTTGCTTGGGAGCTCCATATTTATCATCCAGTTCCTGCTCCAGGGAGACGGCGTTGGTATTGAAAGCCATGAAGTCTGCAAACTCGTCCTGAGTGGTGGCTGAAGGACAACTTGACAACCCTCCAAAAAGGTTGAAGTTGGCAAAGTCACTGGCCAGAGACGAGCTGCTGCTGGGCGCGGGCAGTGTGGTGGCAGCCGATATTGTGTGTGATGGGGTAGCAAAAGTTGCCAGTTTGGGGGAATTGTACGCGGCTGGAAAGAGAGCAGGTTGGCTCTCCCCAGTCGAGGCTGAGGAGAAGAGATCCAGGTCTGCCAAATTCAGAGAAGGCTTTGCGTGGGGTTGCGGTTTGGACTGTATGGAAAGAGAAGAGAAAGAGGAAGGAAATGCTTTGTCCTTTGTCGGCGGTTCTAGTGGAGAGATGCTGTCCGCGGTTTTGAAATCGGTGAAGCCGTCGTCTGTTCCCGGGGACTTGAAATCGGCAAAGCTCTCGCCTGAAAAACAAGAGAACAGACAGCCAAGTCCATAGGGTTTCCTGAACATTTTAACAGGCTCAACCGAGCATCCTATCTACTAATTCTCACGTGTTCCAAAATAGCTCTGAACTAATTTTATTTGGTCCACTTTCCATTTTACTTCTGCTCAAGGACTCAAGATGAATAATCTCTTGATGTTTTCCAGAAAAAAAAGCATAAATAAAAGATAATAAGCATGAAAACAAGGTAAGTTTAGAACATTTTGTTGATTCCAAGGGACCTGAGGGCGGAGATAAAAGAGGGATCAGCCTAGAATATCTACATAACCGAGGTCAGTTCCCTTTGAGTGCTATTTTGACCCTTATCTAACCAGGTTAGTTGAGAAGATTCCTGTGCATAGGCATGAACACCAATAAAGGAATATATCTGGAGGTCAGGGTTGACATGAGGGGTCCTTGGTGCTCTCTGAGCTTGGTTTTCTTGCAGACGTTTCATTATCCAAACTCGGTAACATCATCAGTGCTAGCAAGAAAACACGCAAGCTCAGAGGGCACAAGTACCCCTCATAGGCCTGAATAGCTATAAATTAGTATAATTGGACCTTCAGGTGTGGACCTGGCCTTTTGTGCTTGACCAGAAAATATGTAAAGTAAATATTTATGCACCTTCTCCTCTTTTGGTAGTCAGGCAGAGCCCTTAACATTAAGTTATTGTTGTCCACTGTGGACTAAGCTATGAGTGGATTAAAAAGTGTTTCTGGAATATATAGACTGCTCCAATCTTCTGTTATGATTCTGGACAGCTGACAGAATACAGCAATAAAGAATAAAAGATTAAAAGAAAGATCATACTGCCCAAAAGTGAATGTCTTGGAAAAAGTAGGGTCCCTTCAAAAGACCAGAACATCAGATGCTCACACAAACCTTGGATTAGAGGCAGATCTTAATGGTTTGCTTCAATAGGACCTCAATGGGAGCTATATGAACTCCTGGGAGGTGGATGTTGTGGGGACAAGGGCCATGAGAGGTGAACCCCCACTCCCATGGTCTCACCAGGTGATACTGTTTAAGCAGTGGGACTGGGCGCACACCGAACTTTGTCAGAATGTGTGGCATGGACAAAAACTATGGGGGACAAGTGTTACCACAGCTAACCAGGTCTCTAGCACATAGAGCTTTCTATGTAGTAACTAGCGCCTTATAGCCTGAGAATATTTGGAGCTCAGAGTTGAACTGTGGAGTCCTTGTTGCTCTCCGAGCTTGGTGGTTATCTTGCAGATATTTCATTACCCTTGCACTGATGATATCACCTAGTTGGGTAACGAAACATCTGCACGAAAACCACCAAGCTCAGAGAGCAGTAAGGAGTCCGCAACTAGTGCCATGAAGGCACTCAGGAGACTACTGTCAATCAGCACACTTCATAAAGTGGAAGTGTTACATGCCCTTAACTGCCTGTGCCACAATTTTGGGTGATGGTGACTTTTTCTACAGTGCTGCAGCATCAGCATCTTAGAAACCCACAAAACTACGTACTGTGGACCTCAAGGGGTTTCTGAGGGACATGAGAATTTGGGAGGCTTCCTGAAGTCCTAAGGTGCGAGTTTCTCACCACTGTGGTGAAAGGAATGAGTGTGTTGTGTTACTGAGGGCTGGAATATTTCTCACGGCACTCATTCCTTTCGTAAGTTCCAGTGAGTTCTAGCCCCACCTTAGGCAAGAAAGCTGGGTAGGTGACTTTGGGCCAATCACCAGGAGATGATGAATTCTAATTCCGCCTTAAGCTTGAAAAAAATATCTGGGTGACTTTGTGCCAATCATCCTCTCTCAGCCCAACTCACCTCACAAAGTTGTTGTGGGGAAAATAGGAGGAGGAAGGTGCGTCGGATATGTTCACCGCCTTAAGTTATTTGTTAAAAAAATAAATAAAGGCGGGATACAAACGTATAAATAAAAATAAATGGGATCACTAAGAGTCTATGTTGATTTGATGGTGCATCATTATAACTAATCACATATGAATGGTTAGTTTAAAATGGAACATTTATTTAACTCAGGGGTCTTCAAACTTGACAGCTTGAAGACTTGTGGACTTCAACTCCCAAAATTCTTCCTCCAGTCATGTTAGCTCAGGAATTCTGGGAGTTGAAGTCCACAAGTCTTAAACTTGAATGGGTTAATTTGGCTTAACCCATTCACCAGCAGGAAATAGAAACAACAAAATGGCGAAGAAAATACTTTAAAATTCAATGCAATTCAATGCAATTTAAGAAGTGTTCTTTATGTCGGTATCTACCCAGCTACAGGCACATCCAGGGGGCAAGCCCACACTTCATTTTTAATAAAAATCCAAATTACCATCACCAAAGCAAAAATAAAACACCCGGTCAAGTCAGTTTCCCAAATGCTGCAGTAGCAAATCGACAGATCGGTCTCTGAGACAGACATAAATTCTGACCAGTTGCAAGACTTCAGGGAGATTCCTTGATTCTCTCCTGAAAAGTGGTCCAAATATCACCTTTCCCAAAGCTCATTTGTGAAACTGACAGTACCCCAGACCAAGAAATGGGCACAGCAAAACTTGACTTACAGATGGGTTGCAAGCTTTTCCGTTAGAAATGTAAGCTGGTGAAAGGGTTAAAAGTGACAAAAAACACAGTTCAAAACCAACTTGCCTCTTCTGCCCTGACAACGTGAAATGCAGGTAGCCCTCGATTTACAATTATTTGTTTAGTGACCGTTCGAAGTTACAGCGGCACTGAAAAAAGTGACCTAGGACTGTCTTTCACACTGACGACTGTTGCACCAACCCCAGGGTCTCGTGAACAGAATTCGGATGCTTGGCAACTGATTCACATTTATGACAGTTGCAGTGTCCTGGGGTTCCCTTTGGTGATCTGGGGTGCAGTGTCCTGGGATCTGTCCTGGGGTTCCCTTTGGTGACCTTCTGACAAGCAAAGTCAGTGGGGAAGCCAGATTCATTTTAAACCAGTTACTAAATTAACAACTGCAGTGGTTCACTTAAAACACTGTGACACGAAAGGTCGTAAAATGGGGCAAAATTCACTTAACAAATGTCTCACATAACAACAGAAAATTTGGGCTCAATTGTGGTTGTAAGTCGAGAACTACCTGTACTGGCTACCTTACCTGGCTTCCATAGGGCAGAAGAAACTTTTGAACTTAGCTGTCCAATACACATGTTAACATTATTCACAGCATAAAAAAACCAGCACTTTCAATGACAATGAGGATACAGGAAACTATTTCACTATTTTCAAGAATATTCTCCTTAATTCTCACCACCTTATGTATAATTATGTTGAAATCAAACGTGGATGCAATCTTTAGGGGGTGGGTGGATGGGCCCCACTTTTTAATAATATTTTTAAACCCCTCCATGATCGACGGGGCAGGGCTAAGGGGGTTCATATCTCTTTCAGCCCCTAGCAGCGGCTTCAAAATCTATTTTAGCCCTAATATGGTGTGTGTGTGTGTGTGTGTGTGTGTGTGTGTGTGTGTGTGTGAAGATAAGATAAATGGGGTGCTAAATGTTAATAGGGCAAGCCCCGGGGAATGTATTCCTATACTACAAACTCATCAGATAATAGAACTCAAAGAGTCTTTCCTTTCCTTTCCTTTCCTGTCCTGTCCTTCCTCTTTCTTTCTTTCTTTCTTTCTTTCTTTCTTTCTTTCTTTCTTTCT